AGTTATGGCTAGTTATATGAATTTATATGTACACATATACACTTTATATAGAAGCTTCGTATGTCCCATCCCCGCTATAATAATGCTAGCCACAACAAAATCCGAGCAGCGGCTAGTGTAATGAGCTCCTTTCCACAGCTGCCAGCCGGGCAACACACGGCTGTTCCCAAGGGCCAAAAATTACACCAAATCTGATACCTCCCCGATTCTGCTTAAAAATTGGAAAGTAAACTTTCTTCTGCCTTGGTATATGCACAATTTCAACAAGATAGAACTATAAAAAACGGAGTAAAGCAAGAGTGCATTAACCAAAATGTGGACATAGGGTAAACGAAAGCTTGTGAATGGGTACAGGGTATCTGCTAGTCGGACACTTGCGACGAGGGTAGCTATAAAATAACTTCACGCACTGCGCAAACTGTGTGCCGTGTTGTGTAATGCTCCACATAGTTATATATGTATGTATATACAACCTGCATATATAGATAGATATGTGTAAGAGTGTTTTTATGGCTTCCATATAGTTTGTGGTCGTAGAGCCCTCCAAATGACATCGCTGCACAGTGTGAGCGAGCGAGAGGCCGAACTGAACGCAGTTTTTGTATTCTGGTAGTTAAATGTTAATTGGCTGATTGACGACACAACAACAACAACAACAGCAACAACAACTAAAGTATATATCTGTCCGAGGTGTACTAAATATGCGACTGATACTGTGAAATGATTTTTGAGCTGCAGGTCATGAGTTGATTGCTGAAAGGTCTCTCAAAAGCTTGTAAGCGATTCGCGGCAAATAGATACCTCAAGTGTTATCTTTTTGGGCTCTCATCTAACGCGTGATATGAATAGCTTTTGATATTCTATTTATGCTCATCATCGAATTGCTCGTTATCTCCTCATTTTATCAGCCGGCCGCTTAATAAATATATTCGAATTTTGACAAACAGTGTCTAATGCTATATATAAAATTGAAAATTTATAGCTCCAACGGAATTCATGAAACTATCCAAAATCACAGATCTGGCATGTAATATTTTAGTATAAAATTTCATATATTCCTCCTATTTACTGGGTTGATAGAACGCAGTAAATTCTGCAGATATCCGTTAAATAACAGGGTCTTTTCTAGAGATAGCCTCAAGTATTATATTTGTGACATTTGTCAGCAGCACCAATTTATTGCTTCCATTTGCTTTATTAGCTTAGGGACGCAAATTGTACACCAAAGATCAATTCTTTTGAAAACCTCGCAGGTGAACGAAATATTTGGTATAAAATTGTTGTTAAAGCTGTCGGAAATTGATATCGATTCCCGGATGGATCGAATAGTTTATCAGAACAATGTCAAGCACTCGTGATATTAAATGCACTATGTTTATTTTGAAAACTAACTTGTTGTTCGGGGAAAAACAGATGAGTATACAAAAACCAGTCTAATTGGAACAAAATCGGACACCATTTTCTTCGACTGTGTGCTTTCTCTTGCCTCCGACAAATATTAGGAAAAAGGATCTTATGGAATACTACGTTTGCCTCAAAGTATTCAAAAGAGCGCGCTCCTTCTGGGAACCATATGTAGAATTCTAATTAAACGCCGGTCGTGGATTATCGAGTCTCTCGCACCTGTTCTTTGCTAGTTGTGATTACTTTGGCGCTGATAACGAGCTGTCAATTTGCATTGTGATAACAGGCATTCGGCTCTAATATAAATGTGTTCAGCAATCAATCATGCGTAACTCCCTTCTAATCTGTATCTAACGCCGCAGGGCACCAGTGAGGGCAGCTACCACCCGGCCAAGCAGCCGATGGAGGCCAATGGACATGCGACAAAGTCCGGCAGGAAATGCGAGAAGTTCAAGCCAAGTCAGGCGGACGGTGTCTTGTCGGCGGAGCAGGAGCACTACCAGAAGACGTCCTTTGAGGATGTGCCGCTGCACACGGCCTGCCTGACCTATTTGGGCTTCTATCTGCTGATGATACTCGGCTACATAAACCAGCTGCTGTTCGTGCCCAAGGTAGCCACGGAGAAGGGGCGTGAGGGCTATGTGGCCCTATACGATGCCTTTGAGAGCTTCTATTCGCGCTATGTGTACCGTCGTGTACGCGATTGTTGGAATCGACCCATCTGCAGTGTGCCAGGCGACGAGCTGGTGCTAAAGGATCGCGTAACCGACGATTATGGCTGGAGCTTTAGATTTACAGGGACCGAGACACGTTGCCTGAATCTCGGCTCTTATAACTATCTCGGCTTTGCTGCCGCGACAGGAGCCTGCGCCGACGACTCGGAGCAGCGTGCTCGCCAGAAGGGTCTGGCCTATTGCAGCCCTCGCAGCGAGCTGGGCAATACGCAACTGCACATCGATCTGGAGCGGCTGACAGCCCGTTACTGTGGCGTCGAGGATGCGATTGTCTTTGGCATGGGCTTTGCAACGAACGCACTGAACTTGCCCTCGCTACTGGGCCCCAACTGTCTGGTTGTGAGCGATGAGAAGAATCATGCCTCCATTATTCTGGGCCTGCGTCTGTCGGGAGCCACCACGCGCGTGTTTAAGCACAACAGCATGCGGGATCTGGAGCGTGTGCTGCGCAATGGCATCTGCTATGGCAATCCGAAAAACGGCGGCAAGCCCTGGAACAAGATCATGATCCTAGTCGAGGGCATCTTCAGCATGGAGGGTTCCCTGGTGCGCCTGCCCGAGATTATTGCCCTTAAGAAGAAGTACAAGGCGTATCTCTATCTCGATGAGGCCCACAGCATTGGATCCATGGGTCCGACGGGACGTGGCGTTGTCGAGTACTTCGGTGCCGACCCCAAGGATGTGGACATTCTGATGGGCACCTTTACCAAAAGTTTCGGCAGCGCCGGTGGCTACATAGCAGGCTCCAAGGTGATCATAAATACGCCATAATTCCCTGGCATCGCATTTAATTCCCATTGCTTTCGCAGAAACTGATTGACTTCCTGCGCACAAACAGCCACGCCCATTGCTATGCCAGCTCTATCTCGCCGCCCATTGTACAGCAGATCTACACCTCGATGAGCATCATAATGGGCGAGGATGGCACCGATACGGGTCGCAATAAGGTACAGCAGCTGGCCAGAAACACGCGCTATTTCCGCAGGCGCTTGGCACAAATGGGCGTCATTACCTATGGGCATGAGGATTCGCCGGTGGTGCCCATGTTGGTCTATCTCTTTTCAAAGATTGGGTAAATGTGATTCTGCCTTGCTTGCCAACTTTGTTAATTTGTGCTCCTCCACTTAGTGCTGTCATACGCACGCTGACCACGCGTCATATTGCCGTAGTGGGCGCTGGCTTTCCGGCCACGCCTATCATGGAGGGTCGCATACGCTTCTGTTTGTCGGCTGCGCACACCAAAGAACAGCTTGACTATGCCCTCGACGTCATCGACGATGTGAGCGAGAACTTGGGTCTAAAGTATTCCCGCAAACCGCGCGATCCCAAGATCATTGAGTACTAGACTCTAAGCACACACATGCACCATACAACACATACACACACATTTAGTACTTTAAGTAGAAAGTTGTCCTCAGTTGTTGGAACCAGCCCAAGGCACAAACTGCATTCGGCACAGATCGAGTTTCAGGCGCCAGACTCGAGTCGTTGATATGGTGAAGCTATTTATAATGGACATGTTGTTGTGGTTTAACTTTTGACTAATCCCCAAGGGACTCTGCCTAAAACACTAAAAAGAAATCGATGAAACAGCACTACAACAACATGCATAGCTTTATTATGATGAAAATAATAATAATAATAACAATATTGATAACTATTGTATATTTAGCATTTAACTCTTCGTAGTTGTTATGGTATTTCGTAATATTTCCGATGTCTTCAGCTGCTGCACATATTTTCTTCTCTTTTAAGTAGTAAGATGTGAAAAATGTATCATGATCATCAAGTTTTTCTGTTATACAAATGCGTATACTCTATAAGCAAGCCAGATCCAGCAGCTCCTTTATTTTTATTGCTAGTCTACAAGCAAGTAGATTCATTGCCCCAACATCGCGCACCTCGCTTTAAAAGATTCAAATGCCAAGCCAAACCAAATGGAAATATTCAGAAGCAACCAGTTAACATAAAAACATAAAAGGCGTGGCAGTTCCAGAAATATAAGCATTACTTCTATGTTTGTGTATATGTATTAAACATTTTATTTTTCTAATAAAAATATATATGAAAACTTCGAGCTTAACATAGCGATGTGATAAGCATGCAATGTCTCAAATTGTTTGTTTTGCGATTTTCTGCAAGTGCTTTCAGAATACGCAAAAGACTCAGAATTGATTGTACTTTACAAAACCATTAAAATAAATCTGAAAATTAATTTATTTGATTCATTAGGCCCCCAATGAACAAAATTTTTGTTTAATCATAACTTGGTCAAATCTCATCCGACAAATCTCCTCGAACAAAGACCCAAATGTCATCTTTGTTCACGACTTAGCCTCTAGTTCAATTTGGCATCTAAATCTGGTAACATTGCTCGGAATTTATTTAAAACGTAAAGCCGGGGCTTACCCGCTAGTTATATATATTTCAAAAATAACCAAAGTTTTTCAAAAATATTTGTCTAGGATCATCATGTTTTTTCAATCAAAATGAAAATCAAATTTCAGAGCTGTTTTTATTGCATTAAAAACCCAATTCGGGTGCAAGCAGTGAACCGGAAAGCAGGATGCAAAGCAGTTCATGAATATTTTCCAAGCAGTATAACTTAGAAGGTGTTATAATGAGGTATTGACAATAGTTTAAATAGATATGATGTTGTTTCTATACCCTGTATCCAGTTGTGTAACTGAATATTTGATCCCATTAAGGCTTTAAGTATAAAGTTAAGATAAATAGCAAAGACATACTTTAATAGCGGGCGCGAGCACACTATTTCTTCATGTTTCCTCAAGACTACGACTTAAATATTTTGTTAGCCCTATTCGACCAAACATAAATTAATAATCACACAAAATAGTTGGCTATGCTCTAAGGTTCCCAGCCAAAAAATGTTTTATCTGCACAATTTTCTGTTCATTTTTAGCTTACGTTTCGGTTGCCGTCTTATAGGATTTATTGAGGTTTGTCTGTATGGCTATGGATTCTATTATTTGGTTAACAAATATGGTAATATAACACTTGCTCAATATCTATAGATTATTTGTAAAGCTTTCCACATTTCAGGCTTCTCGCAAATGCTGGAATCGATGATTATAATATCTCTGGGCACTTCCTGTCTGCTGTCGATTCTAATGTTGATCTCTACGCTGCAGGACCACGTGAGCTAAAGCATTTTGCTTGAATGCCATATTTATTCAAAATGTTACTTGATTTAGGAATCATCCGGCATTATCTTCACTTATCTAATGTGGGGCATTTTCACAACAATTTTCTTGGCAGTCTTCTACTTGATCACCTTTAAGTCGGGGAGAAAAATAAGTTTGGAGGTATTCTTGGGTCTTCTATTGGGCACAACAAGTAAGTAGCGTTTGTTCATTTTTTGCTATGTTGCTTATTTCAACAGTTGCCAAGTGCTATTCCATGCTGGTGGTACTATCATTCCTCCATATGATGGTAAGTTCCGATAGTGAAGATTCCTCTTAAGGGCGCTTTGGACTTCAAAATAGAGATGGAATAGAAAACATTATTCATATGTGAAATGCCCAATGTCCACTCTTAGACAGCTGTTTTATTAAAGTGCATTTATATATTTTGTATCTATACAAATAACGCTCTCTTCCTGCACGATTGACGGACTGACCGATTCATGGTCAACGCAAAGTTCAAGTCGGTAGGGATAGGAAGTTTCTTCCAGATGAAACTAGTGATGGAAGCCCGTACTGAATATCGTATTAAAAACTCAAAATGGAAAACTTCGATTCTGCAAGGGAATATCGAAAAATTTTAAAATTTTAAAAAATATTCACAACGATATTAGAGAATGTAAGATAGCAACAAAAATCTATTTTTTAATATTTTGAAGCCTTGTTTTCATTTATTCCAATCAGTAGAGTAACGATATTAAAAAGTATAAGCCCGAAAACCATTCCAGAAATGTGCGGCTAGAACTGGAAACAAGAGTGATGACTATCACTAATGTGTCAAGAACCAGCAAATACTTTTCAGTAATCTTGTATAAATGGGAATAACTGGCTATTGCTTGTTATGATCACCAAGGAGACATCTTCAAAAACTTAATGACTTCTGTATTTTCAGCCTCAGCAGGCTTTGCTAAGAAGAAATTTGTTTGTGTCGTTTCCTCAAGTTCATACAGTGTATACAATCCCACAATGAGAATATAACAAATGTATTTAAATTCACAAATAATACGCAAATAACAAATAACTTAAGCATAGCCACTAAATACATCATTTTTAACTTTTTTCATTTCGGAACGATTACTTTTTCGATTTTTGCTATCTACTAGCAAGAGACCGAAGTCTTTTCAAAACATGCGACTTATATTAAATCATACTTCTGTTTTTTTTTTTTTTTTGTCAGTTTTCAACACATTAGAAACAATCCTGACAATTTTTACTCAGTCGTTCTGATCAAAACTATACGGGTTACATATTGAATGACAAATTTAAAATTATTGTAGTAAGACTAAAAGAAAGCAGTTTTATAAGCAGTTGTTATACAGATATTCTTCTACATGCATGAGTTTTAAGCATTCTAAAGCAGTTAGATAACAAGCAGTGCACGCCAAAAATGCCCGGCAATTTTGAAAATGAATGATTTTGTTGTCATGTTGAGGACTTATTCAAGTTTCAACTTTTTTATTATAACAAGAAATATTATACTCATAATTTAGAATTTCGTCTATTTTGGAGTCTGATTGGATATAATTTCATTGTCTTTATTTTGCTGACTTATGAGTTTTTATACTGCACTTTTGATAAAATTTAACTAGCATTTGGAAATAATTGACATTGTACTGCAATCGATTGAAGTTGGGCGGGGGAAGTTTAACAATTTTCTAATTAGCAGTAACTCAAGAACGTCTGGCACTCGACCATAATGTCAGATAAATTCCGACTGTAATTGTCATAGATTTCAAGATACCAAAAAGGGCAACAATGTTCCGAGTGTTGTTGCAAAGAAATTACTTTCAATTTTATTGCACATGCAATATTTATGGAATTGTTGCATGTGTGCGGCATCTACAATGCAGATGCGGGCAAAACACTTGATGAAATTTCAATGGCACGCCCCTTTTTGGGGGCTGGGGAGGGGCGACAAAAGACACAATCCGAAATAATTCGTTAAAAGTTCGTATTTTAAAAAATCGATTTTAAAGAAATTTTTGCAGCTTGTATATATATTCTTGTGTGTGTGGATGTGCTTGTGTGCGATTCGGCTTTAGTCAAAATGGGAAAGTGTACCTACATATGCATACGTATAGGGTATATGTAGGTATACAATATGGGCTGCTGGGCGCGGCCCTGTGCTGCTGCATTTCTGGTGTGAGTAATTGACTACGTGCGTATAAACTTTGTGCTGGCATTTTACCGAGCGTCGAGTGCCCAGCGAGTGCAACTGGCCTTGAGTGTGTGTGTGTGTGCCTGTCCGTGTGAGTGTGAGTGTGAGAGTGTGCTCTCATAAATATGCACTATGTTGGCCATTTGTCATGGCTTTTTGCTCAGCCCAAAGTAGCTCTGGCCTAGCCGCAACAAAACTGCTGCAACTCGTGATCAGCCAGAAGCGCAATTTAATAGAGATTGATAAGGATAAGCAGCAGCCAGGAGCTGCGAGACACGAAACTGTTCAAGCTACACGTGGAGCCGCTTAGTGCGATTCATGGATGTCCAATCCTAACATCAAGTCTATCTCCGTATAAGACCTATTAGACGCCAGACCCTCTCCTTAGACCTTACATGCTATCCTAAGTTTACCTTACATATAAATAGAGTAAATCTCTTACCAAACTAAATATTAAATATACTTATATATACAAGACAAAGAGTGCGCGGAAGCTGGAAGTTGAGTTACTTACGTTAAGCAAAAGATGAAAAGCTTATAAGTGAGACACAAAAGAGCTGTACCATGCCCATTTTGGCTACAGTTAACTTGGCTTAAGCCCGTTCGACTTCACTTGATGCTCGATTGCAGTGGCTGGTTTTGGCTTTTGAGTGAGTTGTTGCTGTTGCTGTGTTGTTGTTGTTGTTGTTGGTGGTGCAACGTTGCGCGAAAAGCTCAGCAAATACAATTTTAATGTTTCCGTTTACCTGCGAGAAAATATGTATGCATGAGTTTTCTACTAGTTTTTCTTGCAACTTTTGCTTCTTGCCGCCGCACACATTCGAGTATTGGTTACGGAAAAACCTGCCACGGATTTCGTTTATGGAAGCAGGAAAAAAAAGAAACCAGAGGAAGTTGCATTTTGTGTCCATAATCTGATAAAATGTTGCAACGTTTTTTTTTTTTCTTTTTACCTTAACAATATTAAATAACGGCGAGGTATAGCGAGAGAGAGAGCGAGAAAGGGAGAGGGAGGAGGCGGGAAAGAGACAGAGTAAATCCGATTTGTGTACATTTTGAAGCATGCAAAAGCGCGTCAGCTTGTGGATTGTGTGCATACTTTTGGCAGCCAGTGTGACCAGCTATGGCAGCAATTTTGATGATGTTGCAACAACGACAGCGGCAACAGATACTAATTAAAGAGACCAGCTTTGAGGATGGGACATACATATTTGTATGCTTATTCTCAGATACATTTAGGAGAGAAATTGGCAAAGCCACGCCCAGAAAACAATAATCATAAATGTGAACAAGTCGGCCACAAAACTTAATGATGCCAAGCAAAGGGCGCAGGCAGCATAGCGAGGACATTAGTGTGGGCTTGTGTGTGTGCGTGTGCGTGTGCGTGTCCTTGGGTGTGACAGGTGTTAAGGTGTCGCCTGTCGTTTGCCTCGGTTTGCCTCTGTATCTGTATCAGTTTCTGTTTCTGTTTGTGGCATTAATTAGAAAACTGTGGTTGCCTTTTCTCAATGAAATATTTGGCAGCAAATTTAATTTGCGGTCATTTTGTTAGGGCTCAGCAGCAAGGACCAAGCAGCTGGCATCAAGGATTCGCAATTTAAATTTTGTTACTGAAAATTAAATCTCGACACTCTTTGATTAAATTCGCCTTGGCCCAGAGACGCATCGACTTTGATGGATTGACGAGAGTGTAACGCACACACAACACTGAGGTGCAAAAGTGTGTGTACAGCGTTCTTTACTTACGAATATAGCCTTCCCCACGTCAACTCCCTATCACCCTGCAATATCCATCACACACACAACAAAAGTCAAGCACATGGCCAACCTTTGGACACTTTTGCCATCGCGCTCGTAGCTTCGGAAGCGTGTGCCCCACGACGAATGACTGATTGTCCTGGTAGCTGCCTGCTAGCCCAAGTTCGGGCCGGATAACCATCCATAAATGCAACCAAGCACCCAGACACAGAGAGGGAGAGAGAGGGGGGAGAGGAAGAGAAAGAGAGAGAGAGAGATAGAGAGGGGGAGAGAGATGGGGAGCTTACCAAGCGACACGTTCGAGCAGGCACATGAAAAATTGTTTCCGTTGGCTTCGAATCTTATTATAAAACATGTGCTTAAGTAATAGCATCCAACTGAAGTGTTTGACTTGACGTCTCGTGTCATGTAACAGATTGCCCATGTGCCATGAAAGGGTAAAGATTAATTTAATGCCAGAGTGATGCAAGTCAAGCAATAACCATAAGAGACCTTTATACAGTCCATATAAAAATCACAAATTAGAAAGATTACCTTGCAATTTTCGTGTTATTGGGGTAATATGCACGATATATCCTATTTAAGAGCAATTAAACAATCAATGTTAATTTGGAATATATGGCTTCTAAGAATGGCATCAAGCAATGTTGCATTTAAAAATCAATAATTATCGATTTTCGATTAGCTGAAAATATATCGAAGATTATTAAGGTTAGAGGCCAAATTCGGCATTTGGTAGACTATTCAGATAAAAACCTTGTTATTAGAAATAGTAAGTAAAAGATCTCGAGATTCAGCGCAGCTCTCTTTGAGAATCACATAGAGAGGCTTACCTAAGGAATAGAAATCGATTTAAGCTCATCTAAAGCTATTACCGTTTGCAAGAATTTGTTGAAGTGTTAAAGCCTCTCATTTTGTGTTCAATTTAATAGTGTGGGTAATATGCATTTGCAACAAATGCACAAAAATCGATGGGAATTTCACTCGAATCAAATTGCTAAATTAACTTACACATAATCTGAGCTAATTGGATTTCTAATGCGACTGTCGCACAGATGCGAACCTAATTGAATTAAATTATTGTGGATGTGGCAATATAATAACTGTATGCACATATATGTGGTTATATATATATATATATTAAATATCTTTATTTATCTGCCTGGTACATATTTAATTTAACAGTTTGCGTATTGATGACAGTCGTGCATGTCACTGGGCGTATGCGTAATTTGATTATTAATTAAATGAGCAACTGGCGTGCGCTCAACCTCGGCACTTAAATGGGCCAATACTTAATCGAATTAACTGGCCGCAGCGCAAGAGCCCGGATGCTGTAACACACAAACACACATACATACACACACACATACACGTACACACACACACATGCGCAGACACAGACAGGAAAACAATGGGCCTTGCCTAATGACAAGGACAATGCGTAAGGTGGGGACTGTTGGGGTGGGGCTGTTAGTCAACCTAAGTTGGTCAACGGAAGTAAACAAATCAAATAAGATTTATTATGTGACACGCATAAAATAAGGACAATTGCAGCAAACTCAATAGAAGGCAAAAGGGCGAGTGTGGGGCTGGGTCGGAACAGGGACTGGGACACTTTTGGGCCCAACCGAGACAATGAGCCATGACCCAAGTCTATTAAATCAATTGAGTGTAAGATGGCACGCACGAGACTACATAGACTCAGCCTTGGCAACAGCCCCTGACCAAGCCGGCAACGAAAATGCTAGATAATTAAGTTGCCTCATTAGGCACACGTCGGCCGCCGCCTCTATGTCCACGCCTCCAGGCGTTGAATACATCGTTTGGCATAGTTAAGGCAAAAATTTGTTATCAATCAAAGGCCGGCGGCTGTCGACTGTCGGTCCGGTCTGTTGGCCAGCTTATTGGGCCAATTATGTGCAAGTGCTTAGCGCATTGGCTGCTAATTAGCCGCCGGCTAACGTGGCCAACGTGGCATGCTAGAGCAGCATGCAGCATGCAGCATGCAGCATGCAGAATGCAGCATGAAGTGCAGTTTTGCGGCTGGCGCCAATTGAGTTGGCAATCGAATGACCAGCGGGCTG